ATATATATATATATATATATATATATATATATATATATATATATACGTATATGTTTGTCTTCTTCGTTTCTTTTTCTTTATTTTTTTTTTTTGTTTTTCCTTTCCTTCTTTCTTCTTTTTTTAATCTTCTTGAAGAATGTACCGTGGAAGTGAGTGATTATTTTGATTTTATCGAATGGCAAGATAATAGATTTTTTTTTTGTTGTTGTTGTTTCGAGATAAATCGTGGCCCATTTCGAAGAATGCGAAATTGCATCGAGAGAAAAAGCATATAAATGGAGAGGTTTGGTGCATTTATCATGGCACGAATGGTATTTCGCGTGGCATTTGGCATGGTCTCGATTCATTGTCAAAAACTACGTAGAAATAATAGTAATAACTACCAGTGGTTGAAATATAAGAACATTATTGTTTTTTTAACAGAATCGTCGTTCGAGTATTCCGATAATCTGTTATGAATAAAATGAAAATTGTGTAGAAAATTAGTAAAAAAAAAAAAAAAAATTTTTCGACGAAGAATATATTATTTCGTTCCATTATTCTTTACAACAATAATCATGATTTCTTTCTATAAATTCTATAATCTTGTTATTTCGCGAAACCATCGATACAATAAAATACCAGAGAAAGGAAATTCTCCATGAGAAAATAAACTCGTGATAAAAAAAATAACTTTCGTATTTGAACGCGATGAAAAATTATTGATTTAATTTTTATTGTAGAGAAAATATAACGTTCGAAATTATCAGATGGAAATACCACGTACCACGTGTTATCAGAATACTTTGTTCCCTTTTTTTGTTTTTGTTAAATAAAGTTCTTAGAAATTTCATCCACGGTACAACGTGATTAATATTTACTTTCGATGAACGCGCTTTACGTACACAAAGCCTGATTTAGCTTGCTCTAGCCTCACTTCCGTGGCAATTAAAATATTCACGGCAACAACGTAAGTTTCGACTTGGATGGTTTTCCCCTTTTTATTTTCGTTTTCGCCCGGCCTCGAGCCTCGAAGTTCCATTAAAACTTGCTCGAAATTCGTTTCGAATGTTAGTCACGAGCACAGCCACCAACTTGGCGGATACTCGGCCGCCGGCATTTGCATACGGTATTACATACACACGTACACACCGAATTTAAGTTTATTCGCCGCAATTTGATACCGGATCTTATAATACGAAACCGATTACGCGCCATTATACCAGATCGGTGTTCGAAATAATTTCATGGAATTCTAAATGGCGATGTTTCCATAAATAGACGCGTGATTTACTAGTTAATACGTTCATTACACTAATTACCACGTAGCCGCCAAACACGTTCACGCGAGAAACACGAGGAATATATCGGGCCTCTTTGCGTACAACCACCAATATCGTTTCGAATATCGAACCGCGTCTCGAATTCGACGTTTCTTCATCTTCTTCAACGTTTGAAAGGAATCGAGGAGGCAAGATTCGCGAGATAGCGTTGAAACGCGTTGAAGAGCAAAGATTATTCCAACAGAGAGAGAGAGAGAGAGAGGGAGGGAGGAGAAGAGAGGGAATAAACGAAATTTAAACGGGATCGAGAGCAGAATGTTTAAAGCGGCCGATTTCCGATGTGTGTTGCAGCCGCTCAGGCGAAAATCCTGGGTCCGGAAGACGTCTTCGTGAAGAAGGGTAGCACGATAAGCCTCACGTGCACCGTTAATGTGCAAAGTACACCGCCCAGCAGCGTTTCGTGGCATCACGGAGGAGATGTGGTGGATTTCGACAGTCCCAGGTACAAGCCACGAGAATCAAGTTCTCGAGTTCTCCCCGTAAATGTACCCTCACCCCTCGCGCGCTATTTCACGCGCGACCTCGCCAACCGGGGTATATGTAGGCAGACGAGGCGAGAGAAACCTCCTGTTATTCCCTTCCAACGCGTTCGATTCCCTTTTGCGTCACGATTATCACCTTGTAGAAAGAGATGCATCGAACGTGCACCCCCTTCTTTTTCCACCATCCCATGAAAAATTAAAGGAATAAAGATTCCTACATTTACTCGAACGAGTTATTTTATTACAATTCGAACATCAATTATGCGTCTTCTCCCACCAAAGTTGGAAAATGATCCTTTCGTCTCGCGAATCTGGATATAGAAATGGAGCGAGAGAAAAAGCTCGGATAAAACTCGGCCCTTCGCGAAATCTAGAGTCGGGATAAATCGAGCCGTCTCGATGCATCTCGCGACGACGAAAAGACGAGCAAGTCGGCAGTTGCTTTAGACGCACAACTTTCCTTCTTCTTCTTCTTCTTCTTCTTCTTCTTAACAAACGTAATACAAGGTGTGTGCGGTGAACGGAAGCAAAGTATCTTTGATAATTCAGCGTTCACCGTAGGGGCGGGGTTTCCTTGGAGACGGAGAAGACGGAAAGCGGGACGACGAGCAGACTTCTGGTGACACAAGCCAGATTGACCGACAGCGGAAATTACACCTGCATTCCCAGCAACGCGAATCCAGCCAGCGTGGTGGTCCACGTGCTGAATGGTAAGAGCCCTTTTTATTCCCTCAACCCTCGTTCGACCGACTCTCTCCCCCTTCTCTCTCTCTCTCTCTCTCTCTCCCAACCCCATCCCCCTGGTCCCACTCCGTCATGGCTTAACTTAATTTCTTCGGGACTCGAGAGCGACGATCAGTCTTGCGCCTAGACGTAGCTGCGCCGTGACACACAAGTTTCTTAATATTGATCCATACTCTTCTTCTTGTAACGCTGTTTATCCTTTAAGAAGGAATGTCTAAGGAAGGGGGAAAAAATTTTTTTCTTTTTTTTGTTTCATCATCCTGTTTCTCTTTCGTGATCTTTCGTGATCTCGTTCGTGCAACCGTCGGATCTTGTCCGATAAACGCGTATCGATATTTTAAATCACGAATTAGATTACGAATTCATACGCGTTCGGTATTTCCGTACGAGATACGGAATACACTACAGTTTATTAATAACGAAATTAGCAAATTCGGTTAATAATCCATTCAGTTATTACAACGTGGAATTATTTCGATTAATTATTATTAAACCGATTACGAACGAACGAAGGGTTTGATGAAATGCATCCGTTTTAAGAATATTATACGTATATGTGTATACATCGATGAAAAGAGTAATTAAAAAAAAAAAAAGAAAAAAAAAAAGAAATAGCAATGCGTTTCATCCAGGAAATTTGCGCGTAGAATCGAAACTCTTCCCTGCTCGTTTATTGGCTCGCGTTTCATCCGGATTGAAGAGAAATTTTATTCCGTCGATTTATTTTTATATCCAACCGGATGCTATCTGTTTTAAACCTATACATATATACACGCACACATATA